TCTCAGTGTGAGCCCTACAAACTCAAGGTCAGGAGCTTTATTAGGCTGCTGGGGAAAAAGGTGCTGGGCCGTTTAAGGGTCCTTCCTTCTCTTGGGTGAGAAGGAATAACATCAGAAGCTGATGATTCAGTTAAGACACTAACCTCTGCAGACTCCAGCAGGATTATATGAATCATGCCTACCAAGCCTGAGCTTTCCGTTCATGCTCAGATTACTCATACCGCCAACCCTAGGATTAGCATATAGCTAATTTTTTATTCATCAGACTTTGTGCTAATAACTTTTTTTGTAGGGAAGAAGCCTTCGCAGCTTCTCAATATCAGACTAGCTGCAGCAGGATTTTCCCTGAAGTGCACCTCAGTAAGTCAGTGACCCAGTTAGAGAAGTTAGAAAGTTTGGCAGGAGCAAAGCAACCAATGTTGTTGTTCATATCACAGTAGTCATTAAATTCCTTAATAAACTAATAATCGGAATGAACTGGTAGAAAACATCCCCTAAGAAAAATTGGAAAACCAAGGTTGGAAATCCTGGAGTTGACCACAAGCTTCCACTTACCTCTAAAGAAAGGTTGGCAGAAGCGCAGCAATAGGTCAGGCACAGCAGTCACAAAATTGTAGTAGCCATCTAAAACAGAAAGATTAAGGATGGAACCATGATGTGCCTTATTATAAGCAGGGATTTGGCCAAGCTATGCCTATTTCCTGTACAAACAGTAGAGCCATTTTTTTCGCAAGAATAGAACTAAGTCTATTTGTAGTTTATACATCGCTAACTACCTAGGTGGTTTTATGTCAAACTTCTAAATGATACAAACCTTTTGCAACAGCCTATGGATTTTAGCTATGTCATCTTCCGCCATGAGGTACGGATCCAGTATCAGAGCTGAAAAGACGAGAAGTGCTGGGGACCTAGCAGTTGTGAGTGGCTTTTGCACGATGAAATTGCTGCACACCCTGGCTCAGTGTTTCTGGGCACCTCCAGCTGCACTACCTTGGCTGTCCTGTTTATCAAGCAAGCAGCAGAATTCCTGTTTTACTAAGGAGTGCTCTCTTTGTGCTCCAGGACCATGCCATCTACGTATGTATGGCAAACCTGTTTGTACAAGGCAAATATCTTCCACACATTTTCCAGCATTTTGCAGAAGAAATCTTAGAATCTTCTATATATCTCATGCCAACTAGTAGCAAATATAAATAAGAAAAATCGAGGACCCCAACAATTATTTTTCTGTCATCCTTATATTTTGATTTTCTCGTCTTCTGCTCTAAATTATTGTTGTAATGGGTGCCAAGCCAAACCATCCCCAGGGCAGATTGTCTTAAGTGCTTTGACAGTGTGCTTCGCCCTCCATGATGTGCCATCTGCCTGCTTATCTTTTGTCAGTTCAACTAATCCCATTTCTCTGAGAGACAAAAGAGGACAACTTTGCATGTCACTGACTCTGCCTCCAGCATGACCAACTCATAGCTGATAGTAAAAAATTTAACATATTCTGTTTATCAGTGACAGAGGAACTTTTTGAAGCTTTTAACTATCTTACCCTGCATTTATATGTCGATATAATCTACTAGTATAGACACCAGTATAAAAATGACACATTAGCGCAGCTGTTTCCACAAATGATCAAGGTAATTTAACGGCATAACAGAACTTAGTACACATTTTAACTGTTAGGTACCTAACAATACTTCGTCTGTTTAAGCAGCTTTTTGTTTGCAGGCTATATCTGCACAAGTGGTATTCCTGCTTGCTTGAGTGTGGTGACAGCTTTGCGCAAACACAGTCGTTTTGGGCTTGCTGCTCACTTATGTTTGGGGGCCATCTCTGTTTCCTCTGCACTCAGCCTTCTGTCTGGAGGTAGGAACTGATTATCCTCTTTAGCTGGCTTGTAGGTTGCAAACAAAGGGTTTGTCAGATTAGTGTTAGCAGCACTGACATTGTGACATTAAGTCATCATGACAATATAGAGTGTCAATGTGTCCTGGTTTTGACTGGGATGGAGTTCAGTTTCCTCCCAGTAGCTGCTGTGTTTTGGATTTAGTACCAGAAGAATGCTGATAATACCGCAATGGTTTTAGTTGTTGGTAAGAAATCAAGGACTTTTTCCAGTCTCCCCTGTTCAGCTCATGAGCAGCTGGGCAGGAGCTGGGCGCGAGCACAGCCAGGCAGCAAGACCCAGCTGGCCAGTGGAAATATTCCATACCATGGACGCCATGCTCAGTTTATGAGTGGGGGTTGGCTAGGGGGCAGGAATTCTCTTTTGATTCTTTTTTTTGAGTCTCTTGTCTGGGAGTTCAAGTCTTCTCTTGTCCAGGAGTTTGGTCTTTTTCAGGAGTTCCACAAAATTCGCGAAATCCGTGAGTTCTGGGTTCCATGATCACTGCTCAGGGAGTGGCTGTGAATCAGTCATAGGGTGGTGATAAAATTGTATTGTGTATAGTTTGTTTTTCATATCCATTATTATTATTATTTTATTTGTTGTCTTATTAAACTGTCTTTATCTCATGTCCATTTCTCCTCCACATCCCACTGGGGGAGGGAGGGGAGGGGTGAGCGAGTAGCTGTCTGGTGCCTAGTTGCCAGCTGCCGGGTTAAATTACAACATCGTGGAAGCTAGAATTAGTTTTTGAAGGGGCAAGAGTACCAGTTCATACTGTTAGCAATGCACATATGGTTATATAGAATAGAGGAAATGCAGAGAATAAATTCTTGCCCTTACCTCTGTCAAGTCCTGTTTCCAAAACAAAGGGATGTCTTGAGCTTGCATTAATCCCATCAGAAAGTATGGCCAAATGACAGCAAGGTAGGGAGTCCTGAATGTGAACTGTAGTATTTTATTGCAGGACAAATAGCTATTAATGATGTATAAGCTACAAATGAAGGCAGGCATAAATCACTTTTGATGTGGATGTGAAAGAAGACATCCTAACAGCACCACTTTACATTACGACACATCTTTCACCCCAGGTCCCCTTCCTAGCCAAGTACTCATAGCTCCCAAGCAGCATACACTTCAGCATGCATCCAGGCAAGGCTCATGTAAGTGGGTGTTGGTCTCTTCTCTCAGGTAACTTAGGGGAAGTTTAAATTGGATGTTAGGAAAAAATTCTTTGCTGAAAGGGTGGTCAGGCATTGAACCAGGCTGCCCAGGGCAGTGGTGGAGTCCCCGTCCCTGGAGGGGTTCAAAAAACATGGAGATACAGAACTTCAGGACCTGGTTTAGCAGGCATGATGGTGCTGGGTTGACGGTTGGGCTTGATGATCTTGGAGGTCTTTTCCAACCTTAACGATTCTATGACTTCCCTAGACATTTCAAGGGGTGATACCCCAGTCTGAGCGTTTGGCAATATACACTCATTCTGCTGTTGGATGAAATACTACCCTTCCAGCAATGGCAGAGGTAGAAGATACAGAGGGGTAGTTTATTGCAGAATAGGTATTTTGGAGCTAGCACTAGCTCTTCAGCCTGCTACCTGAAAGTCCAGGCTACCATTTTTAGCAATGCTTTAGCTGTTGTTTATGATTTTAGATGCAACTTATTTATTTGTAGAAAGCCTTGTCCACTTAGGTAGTTGGGTGGTCTGTGGCAGACCCTCAGCACAACACTGGCAATGGTTCCTTCACTTCCAACTTTGATCCAGGAAATGAACAGACCAGAGGTCTCCACAGGGAGAGAGAGTTTTGAGAGGGAGGTTCAGCTAGATTGATGGTCTCCAAAGTGGAATGGGGGAAGAAAATATTTAATAGAATACATTTTTCTTTTAAATTACAAAACAAAATAAAATAAACTTAAATAAACAAAATTAAAGAAAGACTATTTAAAATATTTTAAATTTATCTTTTAATGTATTTTTTTATAATGCACATATTAGTACTGCAGAAAATTTATATAACTTATAAATGAATATTTATATTTTGGGGGTGCATGCTTAGAAATTTTTACTGATGGGGTGCATGATGAAAACAACTTTGAAGACCACTGAACTAGATTATCTCGAGGGGGCCCCTTCCACCCAACATTTCTGTAATATACATTGTGTTTTGGTATTAATTCTATAGAACAATGTTTTATTAGCCCTGTACTTGAATTTGAGATAGCTATATGTAATCAAGAAGGACACAGGGTTTTTACACTCTAGTTTCTCCTTTAGACAAGTATCCCAACATTAATGAAATCTTGCATTAATCAGAAGGTCTTTCAAACTGGAGCCAGAAGTGGGAAGTGTTAGATAATTTCTTTCTGTGTAGGACCAAAACCATCTGGCAAACATGACTGCACCCTTATCCAAATGTTATGTTAACATAAAATACGTTAAACAGAAGATCATGTCTGGGCCTTAAAAGACATGCAAATATACAGGATTTGTTGCGGAAATTATAGAGTTCCAGGAAACATGGGGTTTTTTTGGTTTTTTATTTTTGTTTGTTTGTTTTTTTTACAATTACAAATAATGTTACACATCCTTTAGAAATTATCACTATTATAGAGGTCTTTTGTCACAGCTCAGATTCCATGCAAGTGTGTCACAGTAAAGTGATTGCTTTAGTAGCAGTCACATAATTGACAAGACCTTGGTTTAAAGTAGTTTCTATAGGTGTATATTTAGATCATGCTATGACTTAATACAGTGAAACACAAGAATTTGGCTATGCTCAGTATAACAGATTCCCAAGTGTTTCTGAAAAAAAAAAGATTTAAAAAAAAAAAAGAAAAAAAAATCAAGCAGCTGAAATTTTATCATATATATACACAACATATAAAACTGTAATCAAAAAAACAACTGCATTCCACTGTGTAGCAGACTAGATTACAGATATTGTAAACAAGTAGCAAAAAAGATCTTGTGATGCTTCAAGTGTCAGAGAACAACTTTTAATATTAAACATCTTAGAGGAGGTTACATGCTCTTTAAAGTAGTCTTAACATTGAAGGTTGCAACTAGTACATTTTCAAAGTTGTACAGAGTTTGTAGTATTGTTGAAGTGAAGTTATATATTAACTACAGGTTTCCCTTAAGAGATTCTTCAAAAGATGACATAATATCACGCTGCAGATAAATATCAAATGTGGAAGCCATCTGCAAGAAAGCAAATTAGTGTAGAGTACTTGGACATTAATACTATGCATGTCAAATATTTAATAAAGATCTGAGAAAAACCTACAAAGCTTCTTCCCCAAAAGCGTATGCTTCCTCTGTTATTAGAAGTTTGAGTGTGCATGTTGTTGAAGTGCGCTTTGAAACAGGATGAAAGCTTCAGTAAACATCTGAATCTGGCATGATCTCACACTGCAGCTGTTACATTGCATTGTACAATATTATGAATTTAAAAAAAAATGTTTAATCTAAAAAAATAGTAGCAATTAAAAAACATTTGTGACCTACATCAATAAACCCATTAAGCTAGTTTTTGAAAGGCTCAGTTTTGATATTTCAGACCTGAACAGTAGGACTAGCACTTTTGTTGACATGGAGTACATTAAACAGCATAGACAGCTTGCAAGACTTGAGGCTTGAAGTTATTCAAATGGCTGGAATTCCCCTTTAAAATTTGATTTTACTGTGCAATTATTCTAAGCTGATGGGAGTAATAGCACCAAGCAGATAGTTTTTCATATTCTGCTACTTGAAGATCTACTTTGAGTTTCCTATTTAGTTTTCTGGACTAACTCTTCAGGTAGCGTAGTTCTGTTGTTTACAGTCATTCAGGCCCTTTAAAATAAGAACCTGAGCTAACACTTTTTATTTTGTACTAAAATTGAAATAAAATTAGCTGGCAAGAGTCAGCAACTTACTACTTCTCTCCTCCTGCGTTCTTGTGCCATTTTTCTAGCCAAGTTACGGTCTTCAAGAGGAGTCTGTTGTTGAACTTGGGGCAGTTGTTTGCTCTTTTGCTCCTTTTGGAGCTCACAGTCTGTTGCTGCCATGGCATCCAGTCCTGGGCCTTCATGGCCCCTTTAAAGAAAGGAGAAGAGATTGGTATAGAGTAAAAGTTGTTCTTTTTCTTCGTAAGAAGCCTTTGCACCTGAAGAGAATTCTGCAAATAAATCAGCATATAGCACTCAAACTGTGGTTCTGTTTTACATGTCGATTCATAGCAATTTCCCTCTGCAAGAGGTATGTGCATGCAGTTGTTGGGCTGTAACAGGACAAGGTTTCCTGTGTTCCATTTCCAATCCTTATGCACACAGGATTTATATAGACACTACACAAAGGTTACACACACTTATTTTGACAGACATAAACACTTAAATTTCTGTTACTTTCTTGGCCCATAATGTTGTGCTTCTGCTTTGTTCCTCTTCAACTGATTACTCAAGTTAGTGAAATCTAACTTCCGGCAAGCATCTGTAATGTCTTATTCCATAGAGCTACATGCCCAGTTTCCTCCTCATGGAAACCTGTGGTAGCTGAAGGTTACAAGCAAGCTCAATCATCCTCACCCCCATTTGATCTTCAAACCTACATTTACTGTCAAGCGGAACTGATGCGTGGCCAGCAGGTCGAGGGAGGTTCTCCTTCCCCTCTACACTGCCCTAGTAAGGCCTCATCTCGAGTACTCTGTCCAGTTCTGGGCTCCCCACTTCAAGAAAGATGAGGAGCTACTGGAGAGAGTCCAGCAGAGGGCTACAAGGATGGTGAGGGGACTGGAGCATCTCTGCTATGAGGAGAGGCTGAGGGAGCTGGGCTTGTTCAGCCTGAAGGAGAAGGCTGAGAGGGGACCTAATAAATACTGATAAATATCTGAAGGGTGGGTGACAGGAGGATGGGGCCAAACTCTTTTCAGTGGTGCCCAGCGACAGGACAAGGGGCAATGGGCACAAACTGAAGCACAGGAAGTTCCGTCTGAACATGAGGAAGAATTTCTTCCCTCTGAGGGTGATGGAGCCCTGGAACAGGCTGCCCAGGGAGGTTGTGGAGTCTCCTACTCTGGAGATATTCAAGACCTGCCTGGACAAGGTCCTGTGCAGCCTGCTGTAGGTGACCCTGCTTCGGCAGGGGGGGTGGACTAGATGACCCACAGAGGTCCCTTCCAAGCCCTACCATTCTGTGATTCTGTGATTCTGTGAAGGTGCCTGAACTGTTCACTATACATTCTGAACAAGGAGCCTACTCTTAAGGATCTCAAATGCTCTGTTTATTATAATAATACACTCCAAACAAGTAGCCTATTCTAATACAGCCAGCAACTGGCAGGAGCAGGAGAATTTTGGAACCAGATCAGCCTTATCTTTCACAGGATTAAACAGGCAAGAAAAAAGTCAAGATTACTGAAGAAGGAAATATTACAGGAAGCAGAGTTTCAAAAAGGTGGCAAAGAGCAATCTAAGATATTACTGCAATGCAGTAATTAATAGGCAGTCACTTATCCCACTCAGCATAATAATAGACCTCAGACTGGGATACATATGTGGGCACTCACTGAAACAGTGGCTCCAAACAACGAGGGAAGAATACTACAGCAGTAGCTTATTGAATATGTTTCTCTACAGCAATGCAAAGAATTCTGCTGTCTGAAGTGGTGCACACTGGAACTCCTTTAGCTATGTTAATGCCAAGTTCTTGAAGACTAGATTATCCTGCTTCCCCTTAGGATAGCAATAAGATGGGGATTTTCCTGACTACAGATATAGGAAAGTAAGGTGCTGAGGACAGGGGTGAATTCTGGTCATGACCAGAGGAACTGAGTGCTCCAAGGGACAAAAAAAAAAAAAAAAAACCACCCCAAAAACCAACCACAAATACCATAAATATGGTTATTACAACTATAGTTATTAATAAAACTTTAAATAATAGTATTATCAGTTTATAAAGGTGACTTTTATTCTTCAACACACTTGTATCCTTAACCATGATGGGAGGCATGTATCGCATCAATTAAGCAGCCTGAGGCTGAAATATTTTCTTGAAAACAGAAAGACCACAGAATTATTTAACTATCCAAATTGTGGGCCCTGCACATAAATGAAGCATAGGAGCGAAAAATAGAATAATATTTCAGCATATGTGGTCACAAACCTTTCTTTTTCCTGAGAAAGCTTTTGCAGTTCCCTCTCGGCTTGCCTTTTTAACTCCTGTGCTTGCTCACTCTTCTTCTTTAATGCTACTTTCCTGAACTGTTTGAACACGTCAGCAGATGCTTTTATCGGAGCCGGAAGTGTCATCATTTTACAGAAGTTTACCCAGGAATTTATATTCTTAAATCCTGTATCCTGAAATTATTAGAAAATGGAAAACATGGAAGAGGCAAAAATAGAGCTACCAATCATCCACTATCTGCTTAGTTCTTACATTAGCACAATGCTGTTTTGAATGGATCTATTTGAGAGTATTTGCAACAAAATATCCTTACTGTGGCAGAATATTAGTGCAAATACAGCAATCTGAGCAGACTTTAATATGTTTTCTCTTCAACTTTGAGATTCTTTAGCAATATGGTGAAAGTCATTAGCATTTGTAGCTATTCTTACCCAATCCTATATATCTCCCTTTCCATTTTTTAATTCCAGAAAAGGCTTATGGGTTTTGTTTGTTTTAAATACCTGTGTTTTCTTTCCCCCCACATCCCCAGTGGCATTTTCTTCGTGGTATAAACCAGCATAAACCCAGTATTCTTAAAAAGTACTGCTTGTAGAAGAAGGTCACATATTTGTGAAGGAATACATATTTTTTAATTTAATTCAGTAAGTTAGTTAATAGCTTTTTGAAAGCTAAGTGCCTAAAGAAAAATCCTAGGAATATTTTAGTTCAAGAGACTATATACAAACTTTTTAGGTCCAGAGGCTGACATGATCAATTATTTAGACAAGCAATTTTGATTTGATGTTTTCAAATAGCTGATTACCACTGAAGAATTTAAATAATAGGTAAGAAAATTCCTCTGTTCCTTGATTTAAGATAGCCTATTGTATGCTAGGAAATATTTTGCTTAACGTTCATAAAAACCTTCAGATTATTTCCCAATTGTAATGATATCATCAGAAGTGTATCGTCCTGTTTCAGAACAGGTTTCTCAATAGTACCCATGGCTATATTCCATACTACGCTTCTTTTTGTTACTGGATCAGCAAGGGAAAGCACACTAAAAGCTTCAATATCAGAACTAGATCAAGGAACACTAATAGTTTAAATATTAGAACTAGATGACATAAGCCATATTTTAATGACAATATGGATATGTTATTTTTAATGACAATACGGATATGCTATTTTGAACAATCTTGTATAATTTACCTCCTGAAATGATCAGAACCCATAGATTTTGTTGTTGTTTGTTATTAGCACTAGAAATGAGATAAATCTATACAGGTTATAGCAATGCCCAAGACCTATCAGACACTAAATATTTGAACCATAGAAGATCATCTTCAGAGACGATGCCAGGACAGGGAATCATTGATCCTAGTAAGTATACTCAAGCTCTTCTCCTCCAATAGGAATTGAAATGCTTATCTTTCTTGGAAGAATTCTGGATTTTGGCTCCAGCATGCTTTTATCATTAGGTGTACAATGACCTGATGGAATAATAAAAAAGATTTTTGACTCACATTGCTTTTATGGACTAAATTTCCTCAAATGCAAGTGATAAAAATTCAGTCATTCTAGAAATTTACTAAAGAATTTACACCGCAGTTTTTTCTTATTATTATTGTTTGATTCTGAATGACAGAAATGCTCCCAAACATTTCCTAAGCTGAAGTTGAACTGGACCACTTCCAGTTTGGGTCAGGGAAAGGAATGGATAACGTCAACTATAGATGAGAAATTAACTCCTGGTTAATTCTAGGACAAGTCCCAGCAGAATGTCCCGAAATTTGCTCAGAAACTATCAACACAGCACCTTGCCAGTTGCTCACCCCCAGTCCCCTCCTCACGCAGCCCTATTCTGTTTTTATTCCAGCATTATTTAAGAGTACCTCATTCATCATGTAAACTCATTTTGCCTAAAGCTCTACAGCCTATTTCAGTGGTGGGTTTTTGTTTGTTTGTTTGTTTTGCGTTTTAAAAGGCAAGTAGATCAGCCAGTAAGGGCTAGCCGTGACATTTCCAGTAGCCTACAGGATGTACAAATAATCCATGCTGTTACCTCTTTGTTACTTGTGAGGGAAAAAACCCCCAACACTTACACAGGCAAAGTAGAAGTACTATTTTGACAATACTAACTTCAGATTAACAGCTCTGATATGCTGCGTTACTGCAGAAGGTCCACACTATTTTGTGTGAAAAACACTTTCCACAAAGTTTTTAAGACTTCAAAAAACTTTTTAAATGCAGGAACAGATACAATTTCCTATAGTCATTACTGTAAGCCTGAAAATAGACTTTTGCAATACTAAGGCCTGGCCAGAATATCTCATGGTTAACAAAAGCCACGTATTATAGGGTAGTGTTTTTTTGGTTTTTTTTTAATCTTGTGTATTACTTTGTTACATTCCCTTTCTAAAGACCTTCTAGGATGAAAATCTAGGTGTAACCTGTAAAAGCCACTGTTTTAGAACCAGATATAGACAAGTCAGGTATTTTATATCATTCAGCAATGATCCACTACTATAGTTTGTGATGTTTCAGTATTTAAGTAAATGTTTAAAAAGAAACTTAACATGTTGCGTGGGGTTTTTTTTATGTAAAGGGTAAAGTTTTTGGATGTTTGAATCTCGAATGGTGAAGGCAGAGTCTCAAACCCTCAGCCAGTTTGTCATAAAAGGGGTTTTCAGAAAGACCTCAGAGCTTCCAAAAGTCAAGACAAGAACAGTACCTGGCCTTTACCCTATGCCCCATGCATTGCCTCCAAGATGGTATAATTGCAAGTGAGCAGGAGATTTTTTACTATACAGTGGAATAAAATAGGATGAAAAACCTCTGAAGTCCCTCACGTACTATTGAAGAGGGTTCCAAATCCTAAGATCTCCATTCTTATGGATTCTAGGTCCAGTTAAGCAAAGCCTAGATTGAATTCTGTTATCAGAAACTTGTTCTCCTCCAGACTAGAGAACTAGCATATTAAGGTGTCCCTCTCAATATAATAGACATCTTTCAAAGATCATTTATCCTCATACAGGCAGCTGGAATCCTCTTGACAGTCTTGAGCACTGAACACTCCAAAATAAAGCAGGAGCTTCACATACTCAAGAAAGTCTAACCCCATTGTTAAGATCAATTGATCAACCTGTTATACCTGCTAAGAAGATCTACCTGAAGCCAACTTACGATGAGTTTAAGTTTTCTTAAAGCTCTAGACATAACACAGGAACATGAGGCTGCGTCAAATGTATTTGCAGCCACACACTTTGAAACGTGCATTTTAGAGCTCCTTGAAGCAATGCCAGCCTTCACAGAACCTCTCATTGAGATACACTGCTTTTTGATATGAAGGAAAGCTTGTGATTACCAGTTTCGTAAGTTGAGCTTCGTAACAAGCCACCACTGAATTCAGCAACACACCAGGCCTATACCCATGCCGTCAGAAGTGTCACAAGTCTAAAATCTAGAGCTCATTTCAGAGATGCAGGTAACCTCACAGAAATGCCTGACACAGTGGGATTCTCTACAAAATTCAATGAGTTGCTCTGAGTATCCAGTTCTAAAATGAATGTGACAGAAGGCTGAGCTGTCCTTGGAGTACTCTGAGGAAGTTGCTGGTCTGGCACATCACACAGAGGAGATACAGCCAAGTTTATACCTGAGAAAGGAGTAGAGTATGATTTCCCCTAACACGCAAAGTGTAGTCCTACATATATTCATATCCAGTTAATCCACAGATCTAAACAGTGACCTAATTTTGAGATGTATCCTAGCTGCATGATTTGAGACAGTTATTTTTAATTAATTTTAAATTGATTTCTTAGTTAATCAGCTACCAGCTCAAGCTGTCTTTTACCAAAAACTCAGAAGTGTCTGGAGTTAGACTTTTTGGAGTGAAGGAGGGAAGAGAATAACTCCTTGGATCAAGTTTCTAAGCCACTTAATATTTGATATGTCTAGACAACAGCAAACAATTCAGAGGGCCTATAGCACCAAGGCTTAAATTTGGCTAATAGGGATTTCAGACATGAACTTGAGTGGTGGTGATGGGTTTAAGTGTAAGCGTCCAATTCCTGCCTTAAGGTGTTCAGGACTTCATGTAACCCTAGGTTCATTAGGTATCAATTTCCATCTTATCATAGGGAGGCATGAACATGTCTTCCTGTTTTAAAATGCTATTCTGCCCCACCACAAGCACCCCAGTAATCTGAAACCCTTGTTGAGCAATACAAACATTAGTTCTGCCATCCCTTCTTTCCTCAGCAGTCAAATGTAGCCATGCATCTTGCCATGAAGTTGTTACCTGAGGAAGACTGGGAATTTTGTTCTGCTTGTTTAAGTGATCTATTCTGTAAAGGCTGAAGCCTCTGCAGTACATTGGGAGGTGGCTGCTGCAGTTCAGATGATCCATGATTTGGCAAGCTAGTGGTGAGTGATGAGGGCTGTGCTTGCAGCACATCGCAGGATCTCCTCTGTAAAGGCAGTGGTATTCTCTAGAAAGAGATTGCAGTAGTAAATACAGCCAAATCTTAATTTTTGTAGCTATCTCATCCTCTTTCCCCACCCCTGCCCCGTTTTCACTGTTTATAGGATTCAGTAGTCCTTGTGTTGTAATACTAAGGTAGCATTTTCTATGAGTTCAGATGACAAAACTCCACGAGGTAAAGGGCACTTCCTTGGTCTGTCAGATACAGAAAACCCACGAGAACAAGATGTAAATGTGAGGATTTATGATATGATCATTTTTGTTACTCAGTCAGGTGCTGCTATAACTGATCAAGCTGAAATTTAATTCCTGGATCCTGTTTTGTCAAGTTTATTGCTGTCATTCTGTCACTGCAGAGGCTGCAGTTTTTAAACAAAAAAGAAAAAAAGGTGTTGCATAATTCCTTCCCTCAGTCTTTGCTTATGAAAGTGCAGAAGGAGCAGCTGAATAATAAATTTGCAGCCTAGTTTCCTGTATCCAACTAAGCACTTCAAGTGAAAGCAAGCCTGTTGTAAGAAGAATGGAGGCTTTGCTGTGATCTTGCTTTGAAATCCAAGGTCTCCATCTCTGGTAGCTTCAAGGGAAATTATGAAAGGCAGCTACCCCTGACAAGAATTAACACTCAGTGTATATACAGGAACATAGCAATTCAATCTTTGAGACATTAAAAATTATTTCTAGATAGAACTGCTGTTGCTCATAATAATACCATAATAAGTAAAGTATCCTGAAAATGACTAGTATATTGTACAATTTATTTATTTTTCAGGTGTAAAATGAGGTTATTCATAAAGAAAACATTTAAGGGGGTTTGCACTGTTTATTAGGTCAATTCTATACTCAAAGATCAAGTTGAAGAGTATTTTCCTTTTTTGGAGATGGCTGGAGTGGAAGTTTGGGAAGTGTGGAGCACTGTCCTCCTCTCTTCTTTTCCTTTCTCCTTCAACCAACATGGAATTACCACAATGACTGTAAGAGGCAAAAGCCTCAGCAGTTCTCCCAGTACATCCGTTTCTATACGGATACATAAGCTACTTTTAACAAACAGCAGATTTGACATCTCCATGTAAGTAAGGTCTATGGAACAAGTAGCATTCAAGCCACATTCATTATTTCCTGATAAAGTTGTGTGATTTTGAGTACCACTGTATGCAACAGGTAACTGTTTAGGGCAAAAATGTTATTTCCATTCTGGTCGGTTTACCTTAGGCTTTTCCATAGGAGCTAGACAGTTCTGCCTGGCTTCAGTCTGTTTTGAGCAGGTTTCTGTAATTGTAAATACAGTGAGTGGGCAGAAAGAGGGAGATGAAAAAAATAAAATCAGTTGCATGTGTTTCATTATTCACACATACAAGATGCAAGTTGCAGTTGTACCTAGACAGTCAGAGCTCACAGTGAAAGGAACATTCTATCCTGAATACTTTTGACTTCAGCTTGATGAGTTTAGAGAACTTCTCCCAGATATAAAAAACCTACAGGGATTCCTGCAGGGTCAAGGTCTTTGCTGCCATCAGTGACTTGACTGTTTGCTTCCCCACACTGCAAAGGGTTGAGCACTCATCTCAGCTTACACTGTTACCTCATGCAGATAGCTACATTGAAGACCTCCAGTTTGGCAGATCTGTTCTGTCCTAGAAAACTAGAGAGAGTTCTGTGTACAGAGAGAAACATCATTCTGATATCCTGATGCTGCAGCACTGTGATGTCCCTGGAAGAAGTTTGATACAACTTAAGCATCAGGGCAGACTTTGGCTTTACAGTCAATGCTGTTGGCACTTTTGTCCCTCATCTTAGGGACAAAGCCTTACTCTCGAGGTAACACACCCTTCATGCTGCAGACCAGAAGATGAAAATAAAGTAAATCACACTTTCAAAAAGGAATCAAAGCCACAAGAGTAAGCTATAGCCTAGTAGTCAAGTCTCCAGGTTAGATACACAGATCTCTTGCCGATTTTTGTTCCTGAAGTTTTTCACTGATAAGTTGGGTGGATGTTGTAGTGTTTTTTGGTTTGGGTTTTCTTGGTGTTCCCCCCCACAAACTCAGTAGTAAGGACACTCATTTAATAGCATTGGAATTGCACGTTCAACATGGAACAAGCTTACAAGGGTAACTGAAATCCTTGGTAAGCATGTGGAACAGTAGACTAATTGCCTACACAAACAGAAGCTTTCTGACCTGATTCAGAGTCACTGCTATCTGAGGAGCTAGAGCCACTACTAGTACTACTGCCAGAGTCCAAGGAGCTGCTGCTGTCACTGCTGTCGCTCAGCCTGCTTGGTCCAATACTGGACTCAGCATTGTTTTCAACTGCAGGAGAAAAAGAAAGAATTTAGAACAACCTGCAATGGAGCAGTCTTCATATACAAGACTAGGATCAACTTTGTTAGGTCTATTCTTCCATGTAACAGTTTGTCTTCTGCCATTTCCTTGTCCACTGTCCATTTAGCAATGGATTTGAGACCTTTATAGAGGAGGGAGGTTTACCAGCAGCAAGCTAGCTGAATGAATGAAACAGCTAAGAAGGAACTGTAAACACACAATTTATAATGCTAAAGTAGGTTAAAACTGGTGTCTCAGGATATTATTCAAGCAATTTCCCTCCCAGAAGTTTTTCCTGCTGTTAAGAGTCCATTCTATGCTTGTTGCTACTGCAAGACTTGCACACTGAGGTCTTTACAGCCAATTCTCCTCTTTCTCAAATCATATGCACTCCAGAATTGTCATCTTTTGCCACCTCCCCACCATCTGACTATTTTGCATCTGCAGGGTTGATTTAACTCAATTTATAGTGATTTTGCAGTCAAAAAGCTTTTTCAAAGTGTGTTGCTCCGATGGAAGCTTTGGAGATAACAGAGACTTGTGTCCAGGGAAACAGGTATCCATGTAGCTTAAGTGCCAGCTTAAGCTCTTCCCTGTAAACAAGCCAGATGCCTGTTGTAAAGAGCCACTGGCCTGCCTCCTCCCTCTCCCCACAGCATATCCTTCACAATTGATTTCAGCTACTTATTTAAGTTTTTCTTCCTAAGATGTTTTCAAGTCTTCACGTATACCAGACAGGAAGACTGTTGCCTAAGCTAATGCTGGATGCAAGCCTGTGTCTTGCAGGGCTGCTTCTTACCAGTTCACCTAACTAGCTTTACAAAGGACCTTAATAGCTATCCGATAGAGGGCAATAATAGCACTCACTAGTTTGATGAGGAAGAACTTGATGCAGCATCAGCTGCCTTGATCTGTTCTCAGTCCCTGATGAGAACCACCGGTAGGTGTAGACACGCTCAAGTATGTACTGAATGTCTGACTTTGATATTGAATGCAATATTGCCTGAAAAACTGAACTGATTCTCCTAGGGCACTTCCTTAAGATTAAGGCAACACATCACACCTGTCCCTGATGCTAGCATGACAGTGCTAGTGAGGCTGCAATCTAAGTATAACTAGAATTTGTTGTTCTTGAATCTAAGCCACAGAAAGTGAATTGCAAACAAATACATAGACTGTTGGACACTCCTCCTGCCCCCACCATGTTTTCATATGTCAGCATAAGGGAGAAGGATGTTCAGTGTGCCTTATGCTCTGAAACTGTTACCATCTTTACCTGTAATAAAGGATTAGGTGCAAGAATAAGGAAGATGTTTTAGACAGGACAAGCGACTGACCAAATTTGCTGCTGACCAGCTCGCTCGGCATAGAAAGTATCTTAAAACTAGCAAAGGGAAGCTTAAGACCTCAGCTGCTCTGAGGAGAAAGTCCCCAGCTGCACAATAGTACATAAGCCCAAGGGGAGAATCCCACTTTAAGCTATTTTTGCAAATGAATAAAAGTAAGAGTCACATTACACTTTAAGTTCTCCTTCTGTGGGTTTAGTTGCCCACTGACATCCAGTAGTCTCTTCTCTAGCTCTTGTTTCTTCTCAGAATTAAGTTGTTCTTTGAACTTTGTTGCGTTTTTAGCTGCATGTGAAACAGAAATTAACATTGACAGCAAACAGAAAACAAATCTAGTGGTTTAATTTTTTGTTTGGTTTTTTTTGTTTGTTTTTTTTTTTTTTTTTTGTGGGGTTTTTTTTTGTTTTTTTATTTTTTTTTAGGAATCATTTTTGCTACATACCCTGCTGCTTTCTTGGTGTCTTCCTCAAACAGGTTGCCACATATTTCTCTAGTTCTCTGAGTACTGAAGCGTTTAAAGTTTCAAAGTCTATTTCTGTCTCATCAGGGTTAGAGTTCCTCAGTGAAGGTTCTTTTGACTGTATTATATGGACTACTTTCCCAAGCTTACCTTCCGGGAGTTTATTTATGTCCAAACTCAACTGTTGTTTTTCATCACAATTCATAGGCTTGGCACCATCTTCATCTTCTGACTTATGTGCCAAAAAGACCTGCTGCGTGGTTTTCTTTGATTGACTGCAAGAAAAAAGTGTGCTGCAGTAACGGCAGTTTAAAAATCAATTTGACACCCACACAAGTCCCCCACACTTACATGCTTAAAGACAACTTTTTCCTAGATTTCTTCTTGTGTTTTAGATTTTTCTTCTTTTGAATCAGGCTTTCTTTTTTAGCTTTTTCCTTGATTTTCTCCCTTTCAGACTTCCCTTCTTTCTTTTTCAGTCTAGGTAAGTATGCTCCGGTCAAAGCCCGCAATTTCTGGTGAACAGCTTTAAGCTATCAAAAGCAGAAAATGAATGCTGATAATCTTATGCAATGTAGGAGGAATAACAAACTGGTCCTAAATATCACAGGAGATTTGTGGCAGCTGAGGGGATATTAATAGGATGTTTGCTTTCCAAGTGGGGTTTATTTTCCAAGCATCTTACTATATTATAGATTAATCACAGACTATGGATATAGAAGATGTAAGGCTACTTATTTTATGCAGACCTTTCTAACAGCATATGTCTTCTAGCATCCTGTGAGGAATAAACAAAAGCAAAAATCACTGTAGGAGTACCCAGCAGCTTCTCTTTAATCTCAAGCATTTGGGAAGCACGTAAGTGCCTTACTAGGTTAGACCTCTGCAGTGCTACTGAATTAGGCTAGTGGGACCAGGCTTGTGCATCTTTGACCCATGAATCCCAGATACTCTGTGATATAAAATGGCCAGTTGGGACATACTAACAGCTTCGAGAAAGACCTAACACCAGTTTGGTTAAATCTCATAGGAATTAGAAGGAAGATGTATTCCAGTTCTCATAATCTGACCAGACACACTGAAATACTTCCCTGTTGCAAAGGCTGTCTTGCAGACTTTTGGTTGTCCTCATGCCCATATTCATAAATCAACAATGTATATGCATATACATGTATATGCATATGTAGTATATGTACATATATATGTGTATATGTAGATATATATGTAGTCTGAAAACTAGACTGTCCCTTGACTAGCAGAACAAATGCTAATTTTCCCCACAGTTTATAGATACAGCAGCAGCAGGTTAAAGCATCATGTCCAAGCAAAAGCAAGACTCATTCCACTCAGCCAGTGAAGCAAGGCCATGCTTCACATTAGCATGAACATAAGATTCCTTCCGTTTTACTTCATACTGAGCTTTCTGAAGTAGAATTTAATGACTTGCTTTTGTGTGGCTCAAAAGAGACTGAGCGTAAGAGAGGTCTTCAACCTTATGAAGGAAAACCATTGTTAGAAGAATATGCCACTAAGCTATATGTGGAGTATCTGGATGCTCTCATTATACCACAGCAACACAGTTTTATTTTTTTAAAAGTGTGAGAGTCATCTGAAGAAATGGTAGGCAAGAGTACTAAAGCAACTTTTCACTAAAACCAGTTTGCATTTGCTGAAGCACTATTCACTTCATATTTGGAGATAATTCCAAACTGGAATAAAGTTCTGTATTAAGAAAAACAAATGACTGTAGAATCTTTTAGATACTGATTCTTAGTGCTAAGCCTTAGAATGGACAATTACAAGTGGCACTATATTATAAATCATGCACATTGAATACTAATGCTTACTCGCTCCTGAAGCTCTGCAAGGTGCACTGTTCTCTCCTCTTTAGAATCTTCAGGTGATTTTTTTTCTGAAGAGTCATCATTACTGCTCTCACTGGAATAAGCTTCTGTCATTTCTCTTGTAGGCTGTGGCAGAGGAACACTTGCAACATGTTCATCAGGAATTTTGGTGAAGTGCCTCTCAAAAACATCCTAAAGAATCAGGTTTGGGAACAGCATGTTTTGGGTCAGCATGTTGTTCATATTTGTAAAAGCATTATGAAGTTGCTGCTTGTTTTCTAGAATGACACGGCAACATAGTAGTTGGTAACATCAGTAGATGCTACATCAGGGCACAGGGCCACAAAGAAATCTTAGTCTTACTCTTTTTCAAGTCTGACTTAAGTGATACTCACCTGAAGTTTTCTTGCCATAGCAACTATTTCATGGTCTGGAGAATTATGTTTGTAGCAGCTCATGAACATTAATCTAACATCCGCAGCAAATTCTTGTATATCATTATATTCATAATTATCCATTTTCTTCTAAAGGAAAAGAAAATTAATGCACATTTACAGCTTAAAGGTAGAGAGCGTCACCATGAACTTGCAGAAAGAGAAGAGGAAGAATTTTGATGTCCAGTACCAGGTTCAGCTTGTATCAAAACAGTAAATATTGTAAGAACCATTATGGAAAGACCTGCTTCTCATTTCAACATTGTCCTTTTAACAAAATAACAGAATTTCCTCTTAAGATTTGCTAACTGTAGTTGCTGTAAGGACTTTGTAATACTAGTTTCAGTACTAGGCCAAGACAAGAATGTTCAGGTGATTTTATTTGGTCATGTACTCAGCACTTGTTCTTGATTCTAAGCATGGTATTTATACAAAGCCTATTCCATAATTGTTTGAGTCAAAGAAGTGGGCTAGAAATTGGGAAATAACCTTTATATTGCACAAGCCAGTTTTCAAGACAGTCCAATAAGCTATTAAAATTTAACCCTTCCCACAAAGGTGGATCTTAACTTGGCTAAATCCCTGAACCTCAGACAGATGTGCCAAGTGTTCACAAAGCACTGTCCAGATTCTCCATCTAGAAGGGTTCATTTTTACAGAAAATGTGAATGGTGATGCAAATATCCAGTACTGACACTGACATTACAGAATTGCATTGTGTTTTGTAGGGTGTTAGCAAAAGCATTGCATACACAGACTGAAAGATATTTAACACACAGCCTGATGGGAAGTGCTTCATGGAGATGGTAATGCCCTCACTACTTATTAGTTTGATCAACAGATAAGTAGATTAGCCACCATGCACATAGTTGCAGTGAGACTTCAAGACTTTTTTCAATGAGCTGTGGCTTAATTTGTTGAGATAGGTGTATGAAGTTATATGCCCATTATTTCTTTCAAAGGGGAAATAGCTTTCATTACACCTTTTCAGCTAACACTTAAAATCCAGTCATTACACAATTTATTAAAGCAAGCACACAAGTAGTCTAATTCCTTCTGAAACATACTTACTTTAATGGTTCCCAGGTCTGTAGGACATTTGGTGATCCCTTGCTTCTCACAAAGTGAGAAAGATGAAACGCCTGCAGGTTTTAAGAAAGGCCACGCATATGCTGCATGTTTCTTTGAAAACATTTCTTGAAGTATTTCATTACAATGTTTTAGTTGTTCTGACAACTGAATCTTATTAGGAATATGAGGTGACTGTTGAGAATCTGGCAAGTGTCTCTTCAGAAGCTTATTTGGTGTCATATGCTCATTTTCACCTCTGCATGCTTGAACAGCTTTTCTTTCATTAAATGTTGCAGAAGAGTCACTGCTCGCTGTGAATATTGAAGTAGTAGGAGTTGTTGTGTCAGCCTTCCTTTTCGCACATTTTTTTGCCTAGGAAAAAAATTTTTCAGTCTAAAATACAGGTGTCCAGAACAGTGAGAATGGTCAGCTTTCAGACTACGCAAAAAAACCCCTAAGTGTCAGAACTTTTACAGCTATTGAAGTCAGAGCAGAATGTGGCACTGCTACAAGTTTAGACTGAAAGGTGTTACAAGAGCAGCACACCAAACTCGGATGTAAAGGGAAGAACAGGGTGTACTGCAGGTCAAGTTGTGGTCGGGTTTTTGGCATCCGAGAAGACTCCAAGAATTGGTAAATTCTGAAGTTACCACAAGGTGACTGCCATGGGAAGGGGATAAATTACTGCAATTCATTTCAAGCCTGGTTAAGAGCTTTATGTTCAAGGTTTATCTCTATTTTTTTTAACCTCGGTGATATTTGGTTTGGAACTGATACTTTGTGTGCTTTATCATCAGTGTTCAAATTCTTCAGTAAAGTGTAAATATACACTGTAGGAGAGCCTGGCACATGTGCCTATTCCTCACTGCAGGAGGAAAACCCAAACTCCCTCAATACAAGAGGGTTTATCTGATGAAAATGTCAGATGTTCACATACAATGCAGACTGCAGTTAACAAGAGTTTTCTTTTGTGATCTACAAACACCTTCCAGGCTATTCACACAGTGTTTAAGCAAACATGCTGTTTCTGGGGAATCAAGCATTTGATTTACATTGAAAACATGAGAAGTTATTAAATAGAACTTAGAAAGACCTTTATTTTAATACTAAAGCTATTATCTACCCCTGAAGGAAAGAACAGTTTCTACATGAAGGTGAAGCCTGGAGAACTGTAGTAGTACGCTTGAAGAAAGACAATCTTAAAGTTCACTTTGTTTCTTTGAGAACAACATTTTAAAGTCGCATTTATAAGAGATGTACCAAGCAGTCATCCCAATTTCTTAGTTTCTAGAATTAGTACTGGCCCAATTATTTAGCAGAAACCTAGAAGATTTAATAGAGATTTCTTACTATCTTTTGTCACAATAGAATTTTTGTAAAAATACTGCAATAAGCGTGGTGCCTATGGTTTTGCTGTTAGTGCTTGAAGGAGCAATTTCAATACCTTTCTTTCTGAAAGTTATTTGAGGAAACTTACTTTTTTTATAGCGACTGCAGTTGGCATTAAAGTGGTCAGCTGAGCTGCAGGCAAAGGACCTGGTGTAACCTGCTGTAGATCTTGAGTCATCACCGGAGGCTGCTCGCTGCTTTCAGCTTGTTTCTGCATTCTACCTTGTTCATTTGAAGTCCCAGGGTTGGGCTGCTGGGGTTCTGGTTATTTTAAAACAAAGTTTTAGAGGTAGGTCTTAAGTGTTGCAGTTAATGTCCTTCACGATCAAATTGAACAGTTGTCAACAGAACCACTCTTCCAAATCCCAACTATATAAATAAATACAAACAAGAGCATTGTTATGTATAGCTACATTGGTATCCTCCTCTACTCAACACCGTTAGCACCTCAGCTAGAACGTTGTACCAAGTTATGCGTATTTGGCTTCAAAGAAGTGGCAGATTAACCTCAGAGGGAAGATCAAGGAGACATCACACTGAAACCTGTACATAGTAAAAACATTCTTGCCAAAAAGAGAATCAAGTTGTTTTCTACATACTCATAAAGACAAAGCAGCAAAGGATGCAAACTGCATCATGAAGGTTCATATTTCCTAAGCATAGTTAAAACCTGCATGTATTGCTAGCAATGTTACAGATACCCATCAGTGATTTGAGGACAGGTTAGACCAATTTTTTCTATATTTGATTTGGCTGGTTAGAGTACTAATGTTTTTTCCAGCTCTGTGATTCTGTTTAGTTCCCATAAACGTTCACACCTATTAGTTTATGTAACATAACACCAGGCAACACCATGAAATTCTCTGAAATGGGAGTCAGTTGCCTTTCTTTAAAAGAAGGGAAATAAGCTGTGTGTTTAGATCTGTCTCTAAAGCCAGAGTCTGCAAAAGACGGGACAGAAATATTCCTTGGTCATATCAGTATACTCTACTATCTAACTAAAAAATGAGGTGCTTAGAACACTTCAAAATTTGTACAAGCTGGATGTTTGTGCGCAAAGGGAACAAGGGGACTTAAACCACATTAATACTAGCAAGATGGCGTTACGAAAGCATCACAAATTGTTGCAATCATGTGAGAGCCAAGACACTAACTCAGCTTCCAACACATTTCTCAGAAACCTTTTCTGGGAGTCACTTCTGCCTGTTCAACCAACATATTCTGCCAAGGCAATGAATTGCTTAAGAATTTACACAGATAAGCTGGTAAGAGCAGGAAGCCAGCTGAGTATCCTCCTCTTCCCTCCTAACCCTCTAACAGTTCTTGTGAAAAGACCAAGAAATCCACTGCTTTTCCATATCCAGCTACCAGATCACTGAAAGGTAGTGTTACTCCCCAAATATACCTTGAGAAGAAAGCTACAGAGATCTATCAAACTATAAAACTATTTTGAAGAAATATTTGTTTTGGATACTACCAGCAACAAGGACCACACCACCACAAACAGCAGTACAAGGAGGCAAATGAATTCATCAGGAGACCCTGAAGAGCTATATAGTTGCATAGCGAAGTGACCCAGTAACAACTGAGCTAGCTAAGATCACTGCTCCATGGCTGTCAGAAGGCAAATTAAGAGGTATCAGGGTGAAGTGTTGCAGCTCTTGAGACATAGCTAACATTCCCCCAATAACTGACAGCAGTACCTCCAGGCCAATTTAGAGACTGTCTTGGAGGTCTCCAAGTTAACTCACTGAGATGCACATGGGATTCCAAGCACTGCATAGTCTTACTTCTATCAATATAAATATTTATTCTTTGGTAATGTTGAGAGCTTAGGTGTAGAAATGAGCACACTTTATACAAAGTGAAACATAAGAGGAATTAAAAAGACTTAGGAAGCCAGTGATGAGTGATAAGTTGCAGCTAATCACATGGCCCCTTGCAATTAGGCTTCCCAATGTTACTTCAAGCACTTACAATGTGATTTCCTAGTAAGTTTGAGATGTCTTGACTGAATTGTCCTTTTTGTGGGCAAACACACTGCACCAGAAGTTTGCCTGTGAGGCTATGCTGTTACGCTACTGAAGTTAATTCTGATTTTTACTCCCTCTTAAACACAATTCATTAACAGAAAACAGGAAATTTAGCTAGTACCTATAAAAAATATTATGACTGTACTGAATCTGCTAAAGCCTTGTAGCAATGTTAGTTGTCTGATATGCTCTGGGAAGAGTGGAGAAGACCTTGACTGCTCCAGGGTTGAGTTTTGACAAGCTACGAAGGATTCCATATTTCCAGCTTTTGCTTGTTTAATATGTTAACAATTCAACTTATAATACAGGCCTTACCTTCCAACTTCTTTCCTTTTCTCTTTCCTTTGTTTAGAATCACTAGTCTTTCTTCTGGTGGCATTTGGACTATTTTCTGCATAAATACTTTTTCTAGTTCTTGGGCCATAAATACAATGTCATCACCTGGCTACAAAACATAGTCAGTAACATGCTGAGTAAAGGAGAGGTTGCAGTAATGGAGAGCTACGTCATAAAATAAAAAGTCTACAAAATCGTGCTCCAACAGGTTGAACCAAGCCACCAGTACCAGAGAGGTCTCTAAGACCTTGCCATCCCTGCCCTCCTCAACTCACTTTAATATAAGTTACTGAATTATTGAAATACTCTTTCTCCCACTGTCCCATCACACAGTCCTACCTGCTTTATATCCACATACTTCCCACAGCAAAGGGAAATGGGGCAGTCCATCTCCCTTATTCATTCATATGTTCTGAAGAAAGCTGTTCAAGCTTAAAGATATTAAAGCTTAAAGATACTAAGACACAGCCAGCAAACCTCCAAGTGTGGGGAGATGCTCACACTTCAAGTTAGACTAGTTGAACTTGGAGTAGGGCATGTCTCAGGGTTGCTAGCCTTGAACTTGTATAGCAGTCACGTGGTGCTTGCTGATCATGAGCTCTGCAACTAAAACACAGATTTTGTGGGCTGAATCCCTGTGCAGAAAAGACTATGCACTGGGTTGTCGTAACAGCAGGCTAGACTTCACTTACATGCCCTCAGTCAACCCTAGTGACAAAGCCCCCCCACCTTTCAGAGAAAAAAAGTTTAAAAAAATCATGAAGACATCAACTGATTTAGCGTAGGCTCTGATAACCATTTGCTTGTTTTAGACTTGTTTGTATTGTTCAACAGAATGGGTTACTGGTAAAATGTTTCACATACCTTGTTATATATGTAGCAGTTCAAGAACATTGTTTTAAAGTCTTCAATGCATTCTGCAGCTTTTGTGTAGTAATTGTGTTCCAGACGCTTTTTGATGGTGCTCAAATCCATAGGTTTCTTTATAATACTGTAATAATCCTTTGGTTTTAAAAGAGTCCACAACATATCTTTAATATTAGGATATGAAGATTCTTACATTTAGTTATGAAACTTAAATTGCAAAAGAATAATTGCATTGTGTTGGACAGAATATTTTAAAGGAAAACTTTCCCCCATAGTCATAGGTACATACCACAGAAGTAAGTGTTCAGGAACTCTTCACCCCATATTTTTTCCTTGCTCTTTTATATAACATCCACCGTTCAAAGCCCCAAAGAATATTTATTTCAATAGGATCCAGAGCTATACTAGTAGTAAGACATATGAAAAGTGTACAAACTTCTCATTTGTTATCTCAAAGCCATTTATCTGAAGTAGCACTCTGGTTTACAGAGGAGGGGGAAAGAAGCCAAAGACAGACTTTGACAGAGACTTGGTCACTGACAAAAAGAAGCTGCCAAGTTTTCACAGTTGCTGATCAAACACTTCATCCCTTGGGTTATATTGGCTCTCCTCTCAGGGTCAGTCTAGTGGAGATGTGGCAATATGACTGAAAGACATCTGGAATGTGAACTGTCGTGATTATTTTAGTAGCATGGCTAAAATCTTGTGATGAAGAGCTTGAGGCTAATTCCCTGCTGGCGCACTGAAGAAATCAGAACAGGAATATCTCCACTAAATTCACATATACATTGTGATATAGATATGCTGGATGTGGTCCTGCGCAGCCTGCTCTAGGTAAACTTACTTTGGCAGCAGGGTTGGACTAGATCTCCAGAGGTCCCTTCCAACCCCTACCATTCTGTGATTCTGTGGTTGTAGTTGTGTGAAATCACTGCTTCAGGAGTCTAAGGCTGTCCTAACAATCTGTTTTGGTGACATTAAAAAGCTAAATACATCATAGTGCAGCCTATTGAATTTACCAAAACAAACCCAAGAAAACTTAAATAATACAGCTAACAATTAATTGTTATCCATTCTGCATCTGCTAACACCTGGAGGAGAGAGTCAAAGGAAGCAAATGCCTCCTTGTCCTTGCCACAGAGCCAGAGGTTTGCTTGTTATTGTGCAGTGGTTGAACTAGCACATACTTTTTAGAAGTCAAGTGGCTGCCTTAGAAATCCAAAGAGGCAGAACTGGCCTGAAGTCAGCTGCAAATGTTGCTACAACTCTGATTGAATGACTCTTAATATTAACCTTAAGTGACAGTTCTTTTCAAGAAGAAAGAAGAGTAAGAAAAGACACAAAAAGATAGTCACTTTGACTGTGCTTTTGGATGAACTGACCAAACGCCTTTGTCACGAGAAACAGCTGCAGATAAAGGCTTCTGTCTACTCTAAACAGAGCCAATAATTTTGTAGAATTAGTCTTGGAAATTTGAGAGAACTAAATATGAATGCTTAAGCTGGGGGAGGAAAAAAGGAATCAAAGGAAATGTACCATGTGTTTATTTAACACTACTAGGAGCAGTATCTTTCAAGTAATTTGAAATACCATTGTGTGGATAACCAATGTTTTCATTTGACTGAAAAACCTGGGGTAATCCAAAACTGGAGTCTAAAGATAGCTGTTTTAAGACAATTTGTCACAAGACATTGTATTTATTCACTTAGTTGCAATTAAATTGTAACAAACAAAACCGACAAGGCAATACAGAACAAGAATGTAAGCATCAGATCATCTGTTTCCTAGCAGAATGTTCTACCACTGTGGTATGATGAGAACCCCAATCTCCGTTTTCTTCTCTATTTTTGCATGGATACTTAATTCTTCTAGAAATTTCAGAGCAAGATGCCAAAGTTGATTTGAAATTAAGAAGTACTACCAGAGTAATTACTTCTCTGCATCAAACCAGATCCAGATTTGCCTCTATTTTAGGGTGAATCAGATCTGCTTTTCCACCATGAAGTATTTGACATTGAAAGAAATTGGTCGCCTCCTATTAAAAATAAAAAAACCTCAAAGGCAAAAGAAAATGCTCATCATATGCAGCATTAAGAAATATGACTAAACCAGCAGGGAGGTGGAAAGACGACAAGACCAAATACCAGCAACCAGAAACTCCAAGAGGCCTATCTAAGCATTCTTATTATCCTTCAGAAATACTGATTTACTACAGTCTCAGATCAGAAAGTAAATGAACAAAGATGCAGCATTTAGTATGAACCAGAGCAAAACCACAGTTTTCTTGCAGACTTGGATTAAAGAAAGCAGTTCATATGCAAAAGTAGTTGTCCATGACCTGTTGCATCAGAAAAACTTTTTTAAACTAACATTCATTCACGTGTCCTGTAATACTTTACATACTAATATTCCAACATCAAAGTGGTTCTTACAGGAAGATTCAGTGCTACTGCATCTACAGGCTGGTGAAACGGCCAGGAATAGTTGTGTTTCCACATGGCTTTCATGACCACTCTCTGTAAGAACTGAAGTTGGTTTGTTTGACAGCCGCTATTTTTGTTATTTATATATTCTGGTGGAGGAGGGTTAATAATAGTAGAATGGTGTTGGCTTGGAACAGACATCTTCAGCAAGTTTGTATATCCACATCCACTTGTTCAAAGATCTTCACTATAGATCTAACCTGGGAAAAAAAAAACAAATAGTATTCAGTGAAGATATCTAGATTTAACACTGTTTACATGTTCACTTCTGTTTGTGGAGTGTCAATACTGTAGTCACAGGCATACCTTCATAGTTTAACCAAGACACATATGTTTTACAGTGCATAATTGCATGTGCTGGACCACCAGAGGTCAGTTCTTTAGGTTATAAACAGCTATATTTATAAATGCTGAAAGAGGAAGCATGTTGAGATCTGTAAGGTTTCCCTAGAAATAAGCTTCCTCACCAAGGTTCATCTATCAAAGTCTAGAAATACATCTTCTGCCTCCCCCCCTCCACAGATGGAGTCCTGTAGAAGAGGTTTAACCTTGAGATGCAGCTTTACAGCACCCATTGCAAGTCTCACTTCTCACACAGCAATAGCTAGGTATTACCTTCCTCATGCATCTGGGCCAAGTGACCACACAGAAGTCCTACAACTGCCAATGAAATGTTTTAGCAAAAGTGTGTTTTGAAACAGTACTTTTCAAGTGTGGGTATATTCATAACAGTATTTTCTGCCACTGTGCTTCAGCTTTGTTATGTACCAGAGGACTACAAAAAGTTTATTCCCCTCAAACAGTTTTGGATCTTTTAAAGAATGCTGCAAGAAGCAGCCATGGTAATTTGTCTTTAGCCAGCACAGCATTGCTGTGCAGGAGCAGAGCATGCAGGTACTTATGAATGGCAGAGGCTGTGTTAAAGGCAAGACCTTCACAAGCATGATTACAAAAGTTCCAGTCTTTCCCCACCTCCTTAGCTCGTCACTGAGTTACAAACACTCAATCAGGCATATCAATTTCTTCTCTCCAGTAAGTCAGAAAAGCACCATGTTTCCCTTATTCTAACAATTCCTTGGTTTACCAATGTAACAGTTTCTTTTTGTGCATTCATTTGATTGAGCACTGCTTATTCCATTCTCAGTTTGTCCTGCTTTCTGGTAGAAAAAAATCTAATAGCCTGATTTTCATCATGGTATAAAGTATTTCATGAGTTTCAGAAAGCGTACTGTTGTCAGCACACTGCTGGAACATCATCTGTGTCCCACTCATACAACTGCAGCATCCCATCAGACATTACATATCACACACCGTACGATTTCATCTTTTTCTTTACTTCAGCATTCAAAAGCATGCCTCTTCTCAAACAGCTCTTGAAGCCTAAGAACTGTTCTGATTTCTCCCCCATGTGTTCAGTCTAGTCATATACAGAATGCAGATGACTTTCATTGAACAGTACTGCCATCAAGGTAAAAGCTTCCTTTTTTCTTAAGTAAGGAAAATATATCAAACCTGAGTTGTTAACACCAGGAACACCTCTGGGCTGAGCCAGCATACCTACATAGACACTACATCAGTAGTAAATTTAGTACAAGAGGTACTGGTTTTGAGGTCCACAGTAAAGAAGGTATCAAAGCTACTATTATTTTTCATAATACTCATTTTACTTGAGAGGATAATTTTAATAGTTTAGGGATCAAGTTTTTGTTTCAAGTCATAAATAACAAGCTGTGTTAATTTTAAACTGGGGAATAATCATTCTCTGTCACCTGTGTCTTCTGATGAGGCCAAATCTAGCATTTACTCTAAAGCAAATTTCAAAAATCCCAAAGGGAACCTAGTCTCCCTGGAATAAGATGTGCTGCTTCCAGGGTATGGCATGTGCACAAGAGCTTGCACTCTGCAGGCAGATAAAATAATCTGCTTTGTGCTTAACAGCCTGCTGACTCTGAAGTTAGGCATTTGTCTGCTGCCCGCTTTTGCAAAGCCAGCTGATACAGTGCTAGGTACTGGAGCATGCTGCAGTAGGGAACTTGGTGTCTTTTTTAATTCAGAAGTGACTTCACTAGCTAATTTTTTTCCCCATTCCCACTCTCTCTTTCCAGAGGGGCTTAGAAACACCATAACTCACAATACCTCCCCTTAAAATGCTGAAGTCCCAGCTACCTCCTTACAGAAAAGATAGCAGTTTTGAACTGTTAGCTATGTATGATTTTGGTCTCAGGTGCTGAGGCAGTAACCATCAGCACAAGATGTGTTGCATTTTTGTGGTTGTCAGTCTTGCAGCAACTTATTTTCTCCTAGGGAGAAGCTCGTATGAGACTAACCTGCTCTTTTTGACCACTCATTCTGTACTTTCAGTTGGAGATGCCTGTAGCTACCCAGAGGCAGCCCAGCCAGCTAGAGTATTGAGAACAACCTTCCCAGCATGGCGCTTCGCATCAGTGCCATGCCCTGCCTCCCTCCTGGCACCAGCCAGAGCCAAGCTCAGACACCTTCCGTTGGTGCAGTACCAGTTAAGGCATCCGTACTGCTCTCCCTCTGCACGAGCAACATGCGTTATTTTTCTGGAGTTTGCTGCACACATTTAGAGTTCGCATGCCTTGGAAAATCGCAACACTTACCTAGTATGAAAAATGAATGCAACTATACTTTTTATTACCAAGTACACAGTCTCAGGCTTCGCACGTCTCTCGTTCAGAAGGAGACACACAAGCAGAGAGCAGTGTGTCATCCAAACCAAGCAAGGACTAGAACTTAACAGAGCCTTCTGTGATGTGCTTAGAATTTGGAATGCCAAGTAAATTCCAAACATTGAGGTTTCTTGGATACGCTAGAAAGAGGGGGAGGAAAGGAAGGAGGAGAGCAGAAAGGTGAAGGTGCTGCCTGCTTTTGCAAAGCCAGCTGATACAGTGCTAGGTACTGGAGCATGCTGCAGTAGGGAACTTGGTGTCTTTTTTAATTCAGAAGTGACTTCACTAGCTAATTTTTTTCCCCATTCCCACTCTCTCTTTCCAGAGGGGCTTAGAAACACCATAACTCACAATACCTCCCCTTAAAATGCTGAAGTCCCAGCTACCTCCTTACAGAAAAGATAGCAGTTTTGAACTGTTAGCTATGTATGATTTTGGTCTCAGGTGCTGAGGCAGTAACCATCAGCACAAGATGTGTTGCATTTTTGTGGTTGTCAGTCTTGCAGCAACTTATTTTCTCCTAGGGAGAAGCTCGTATCAGACTAACCTGCTCTTTTTGACCACTCATTCTGTACTTTCAGTTGGAGATGCCTGTAGCTACCCAGAGGCAGCCCAGCCAGCTAGAGTATTGAGAACAACCTTCCCAGCATGGCGCTTCGCATCAGTGCCATGCCCTGCCTCCCTCCTGGCACCAGCCAGAGCCAAGCTCAGACACCTTCCGTTGGTGCAGTACCAGTTAAGGCATCCGTACTGCTCTCCCTCTGCACGAGCAACATGCGTTATTTTTCTGGAGTTTGCTGCACACATTTAGAGTTCGCATGCCTTGGAAAATCGCAACACTTACCTAGTATGAAAAATGAATGCAACTATACTTTTTATTACCAAGTACACAGTCTCAGGCTTCGCACGTCTCTCGTTCAGAAGGAGACACACAAGCAGAGAGCAGTGTGTCATCCAAACCAAGCAAGGACTAGAACTTAACAGAGCCTTCTGTGATGTGCTTAGAATTTGGAATGCCAAGTAAATTCCAAACATTGAGGTTTCTTGGATACGCTAGAAAGAGGGGGAGGAAAGGAAGGAGGAGAGCAGAAAGGTGAAGGTGCTGCCTGCTTTGCAAAGCTAGCTGATACAGTGCTAGGTACTGGAGCATGCTGCAGTAGGGAACTTGGTGTCTTTTTTAATTCAGAAGTGACTTCACTAGCTAATTTTTTTCCCCATTCCCACTCTCTCTTTCCAGAGGGGCTTAGAAACACCATAAGAGTGCATATAGTTTGCACCACCACACATCATGCTAAATACTAACCTTTTCACCAATGTATATATCTCAGAATGGAAAAATCCAGACACACATAGGATCTGCCTCTCCTATAGCTGGTCAGTATTATAACTGGGAAAATTTCTGAGGCAGTTTTAAGAACCGCACAACCCAATTAGCATCCATTGGTTTAATCCATTAGGCCACACCATTTTTCTCTGATTCTTTCTACGAAAAAAGACATTTTGTGATATAAACTGCAAGTTGTTCACCTTCCCTGTCTGAAGCACAAAGGCTAGAAGTGGAAGACACGAAGGGAAAGACTATTGTTTGAACTTCAAAAATCCAATCATAAAAAGCAGATAAATAACTTTTAATGCTGAAGTAAGAACATAAGATAACGTCTAATTTCTTGAACATTTTATAAGTCAGCACAGCGGAGTCTGGAAGGAAGCTCAAACTTGGCATCAAGAGTGCCCAAGGAAACCGGAAGACTGAAGTTTTGTGTACATAACACCATGTCTTGGGCCTAGCTTTTAAAAACTTAATTTATGCCGTGGAAACTAGCTTACATGCCAACAAAAGAGCTGAGACTGCATCTTCGAAAGAAGAGACAAAGGTTTATGTTTTAGTCAATCCCTCCTTTACTACCTTCTGTTCCCCTTTTCCCTAATCACATAGCACTCTTCTCTCACTTAAAATAAAACCTGAGTTTGTATACTGTAGCAAAAGTGTGATCAGATTCCAGCTAGATAGATTGTTTGATATTTTTCAAAGCACCCCTTCCCAGTCCCATGCATCCTTGAGCCGCTGAGGCAGGTCCCAGAGGTCAAGCAGTCTCAAAAGAGAAGCCTTAGAGACTAAAGTTTTTAGCTAACACAATAGAGGTACGTTATTTAGTTCAAGAGTAAAAAGCAAATAGTTCATATGAATTACATCACGAGAAAAATCAAGGTTTTTGGCAAAAAAATCATATCTTGTGAGAAGCAAACTTTTTTTTTTAAAGAAAAGATTATTTGCTATCTCTGATAGTTCTCTTAAAGCAGGCACTAGCAAGCCTACCAAAAAGGTGGCTACATCCCCTTGTTTTAGCTCAGCATTATACCTACCAACATAGAACTTGTGCATATTATCCTACTAGTCAGGAACAGCAGCTCAGAGAAGTATTAATATACCACATACAAAACAGAAAC